TAGTTAAATAAAACTAACATGATGACAGCATTGGTAACTGGCCTGGGAGTTCCAACTTAATTTAGCCTGTCTGGATTCTGTGACCTCCTTACCCATGGTCCAGCTCGGAGATTAATTTATGTGGCCTGTGGTAGCTGGGTTTGCACTTCATGCAGAATTACCTGGGCAGATGGAGCTCAGGCATTCCACTCCTGCAGCCATGTGGAGCTCAGATCTTAAACCTCACAGCTTAGGAGAGTTTCTGAAGTCCACCAGCCTCTCCTGCCAGTGTTGAAGTGGTGTGAATCAACAGCAGATCTGTCCCTCCCCAATGCAAATGTTAGTATGCACAAATCACCTTTTGCCATCTTTAGAAGGTGCATTATCATGTTTAAGCAAACAGGCAATTTTGAGCTACACTTTTTTTAAGTTGCTTTGGGAAGGGCGTCAGAAAAATGCAGTGTAATAATTCATATTATTTTCTTGTCTTCAGCATCGGTAATTGCTGTTATCCACTTTACCAAAAATTTTACCAAATAATTATCTTTCTCTAAGCCATTCATGTAATTTCAAGTGGAACTGACTTTTTTGGAGGAGAGATGAATTAAATATCTGACTCTTACTGAAAAGCTAGAAAATCTTCAATTAAAGATTAGCAGTGGCAGCAGTTATAGTCCATTGTATATAATTCTCAGCTCCTATTAGTGATGGATAGCCTGTTTATTTCATGTTTTTGAGTTTTATCCAGATGTGAGGATCCATGCTTGGTAGAGATGTCTATTGTAGAAACATTGTTAGGTATAAATATATATTTTTTGAAATTACAGTTCTCCAAGAATGCGCTTTATCTTTAGAGCATTCTACTTTCCTCTATAAGCACTTAAAAAGCATGTGGTAGAATTATCTTAATTTTTTGTGCAGTGCCTGAACTAAGATTGTCCCTGCTGCACCAGACTACTCACTAAAGCTTCTGGTTAAATCCTGGCTCCAGGCAAAAGAGAACCAGCAAGTACTGAAACACTAACTCCACAACTGCATTCTCTCTCTTTTTTTTTTTTTTTTTTTTTTAAAAAAAAAAGACTTCATCTATCCAAAGACTACTTCTGCTCCACTCTCCTCAAAAGATGTGACAAGACTGCAGCTGGAGGCTGTGAGGCAAAAACGGTGACAGGTGTGCTCTATGTGTTGGCATATAGTACAAGGCAGAAATTAATGCAGAACACCTCTGGTATATATTGTCTATAGGCCAAAGCGCATGTACACTATCATTTAGATGTGATATTTTGCTTCCTAAAACCGTGAAGAACCTTAACGGATTACAGTACTGTGCAAAACTGCTTTTGTAATTATGTGTTTACTGCTTTAAAGCCTGTTGGTTAAAACCTTCTTGACAAACATTTCCAAGATTTCTACTGGGATCACTTCATATTTGAAATAGGTTTTGCACCTTAGAGTATAACATTTATTAATTTCTTTGGCACTAAGGAATGCAAGCTAATATTTGTCTCCTTTGTTGTACACGAATAAGACTGCAATAGGGACAGGTAGCAAAAGCAGAGAATGCAAACAAATTGCTCAAGTCAAAGAAAAAATACCCCAGTGATCATTTAATTACTATTTGCACATTTTCTATTGAAATGCTCTGGAGACAGTGAAATGCTGTAGTGATGGGACTACCTAGGTACCCTGACAGATTTATGAAAGGAGGTGTGAAGTAAACTGTCCCTGGGCCTTTACTTTCCCATCCTCATCTCTCCAGGTGCTATGTAAGATAATTTGTAGCACTGCTTTTTATTAGGTTCTTCAAACCATCACCAAACCATGCAGCAGGGACCCCGAAGAGCACAAGTGTTCTGGCCTAGGTACAGAGGGACTGTAAGCAGCTTTTCTCTCTTGTTGTCTGTCTGTGCCAGAGCAAGTCCGCAAGTGGCTGGAAGCTGCAGACTTTGCTTTATCCTGGCATGCCCTGCGGATTTTAGCTGTCAGAGAGGATAATGGAAGGGTGAGAGGAATTGGAATGTTATCTGCCTTCCCATGGCCAGCAGGACAGCCAGCTGCACATGGAGATGGAGGTCTCTGCTGGAGGCATGTGTGACCCAGAAGGAACTGTCCCATTTGAGCTTCTTGCCCTTCCAGGCAGGAAGACCTGAGCACAAAGAGCTGCTCTTTGGCCTCCTAGGCCTTGTCCCAGTGCAGGTGATGCCCTGTCAGTGCTGGTGCCACTGCCCCTGGCTTTAGCTGCGCAAGTGAGTTGCAGAGGTTGATCCCCACCTAAGGACTGCGGTGGTGGGAAGGGGGAGTTAGCAACAGCCAGGCTGCTGTGCTTTTTCAGTGGAGGGAGAACTTTTAGTCTCTAGTGCTGTCATCACACTAAATTTAATTTTTAAAAAGAAATGAAATAATCATGACTTTGCAATTTTTCTAGCTAGTAATTCACAAGCTTCACAGAGAAAGTCCTCATGAGAGGTTACAAAAGCTGAACTGCTTCTGCTTTCTGGCTGCGATTATCAGTAATTTTGTATCTGTACTGGGATTTGTAGGTGCAGAGGAGGAGCTTTTGTGCAAATTTCCATTGTCTGTATCCCACACATATGTTTATCAGTCGCTAATTTGCCAATGCAGCAGATTTCTGAAGGGAAATGCATCCAGACAGAAGGAAGGGTGGAGGTGGGACCAGGAAAACAACGAGGGAAAAAAATGGACTCATTACAGTTGGGGGAAAAGAAATTAATGCACATTTGGAGTGTGCAAATCATTACAACCTTGCCCAAAAATTAGGGATCAAAGGACTATGCAAAATTTTGCTCACTGATCTGTTTCTGAGATTCATCAAAATAACGCCAGAAAAGCAATTTCTTCTCAGCCTTGATCTGTTACAGAAATTGTACGTAGCCCTAGAAATATTCCTGTTTCTCAGTTCCTTTTTTAAATAGATTGGCAAGATTATAACTGTTACCTTAAATTTCCACTTGGCAGTTCCATAGTATGCATCATCTGAAGAGAGTGTTAGGTTATACAGCTGTGTACTGATCAGTAGGGTTAATAGATGAATTAATTTCTAGTTATGGTATAAGGATAGAAAAGTATGCTCAATGAAGAAAAAGACCAGAATTCGGGTGAAAACCGGAGCATTTTAATGGTCTGAATTCTGCCATGTAAAAGAGGTTTGGGGTTTTTTGATGCTTCTTCACCAGACTGTGCTCGTATTTCAGGTCCTTATGAGAGGGATTCATCTCCTAATACTAGTTGTCTGATCTCAGTTCCCTCTGTTTGGAGAGGAGAAATATTAACCTCTCCAAGGGACAGTTCTTATCCCAGCGTAGGTGGCCGGAGTTGCCTGTTGAGGGCATCTCTATATCCAAAATACTCTACTGAGTACAGAAGGAGCCTGAGCAACCCACCTGGACCAGATGATGCTTTGGTTTCTAACACTAGGTGCTCCTTTGGTGACCACACTCTTGCATTTAATTACTGATGTCAAGTTGGGCACACAGCAGTGTGCAGCTACGATTCTCTTTAACATTTATCCCTGCTGGAGGGAGCTTGGGTCATAGCCAGTGCATGGTAGTATTGCACCAAGGAAGGCAAACCTCTCTTTTCTTCTAATTAGGCAGATTGCTACTCTGGTAGGCACAATAACATCTGGAAAACCTGGGACTAAATGGGACAGAGCACAGGGCAGGAGGGGAGAAGTATATGTATTGACACACTCTGATGTAAAACTACAGGCTGCTTAGGTTAAGAGACAGAGACCAGCAAGTTTGCAAGCTAGAATGTAAATAAGTATCCATGTATAAGTGAACATGTTCTTAATTGCTAGATAAATAGAGTTTCATTCCCAGGTATAAACCAAGACATAATATTTCAGTAGAATACCACTGGGTTCCTGTTGTTGGCTGAAAACTGGGATATGACAACTCCTTTACAGAGATTCTGCTGCTTTCCAGATGCACTTGCCATTGCAACGATCAGTACCATCTGAACAGTGTGGTTTATTGTAGGTGCTCTGCAGGTACAACAGTAAATAGTTCTGCTTCTGAAGACAAAAAGACTCCCAGTGCAATGTAAAAAAAAAAGTGTAGTTTATTTGTATATATTTATTGTACTTGTAAACTTTCCTGTAGACAACTGAAACTGCAGAAGCAGAATTCTTTTTTAAGTAACTACCTAAAAGTAGTTATGGAGAATTTCTTCCAAGGTTTTGCTTTCCCCACACCTTGATGAAATAAAGTGACTGTGAACTGCACATTATTGGAGTACCTGAAAGTTTAATTTCAGCAGGCTTCTCTGGTTCAGCTGTCCATTAGGCTTGCAGAGGAGAGTACTTCACTCAGCTTCCTATCTGACAAACGCCTCATTTGTATGTTAATGCTGAGTTGTGATTTCCAGGGAAGGCATTCAGTGTTTTGTAAAGGGCCTTACTGGCAGATTGCAGCTAAATTGATGCTCGACTCACTAAATATTTACCCTACACATCCCACTTAATATGTCCAAAACCACGCACACTGTGAAATCCTGAAACCTGATTCTGGTGCTTGTGAAAGTCAGGAAGCTGGTAATGTCAGCACAGAGCAAAGTGAAGTGCTGTGCGAGTCCACCAGCGCGTACCAGCACACCTCCAGCCCGCCCTGCAATCTCCCCGCTCTTTCCGTGCTGTCACCCCATACACCGGGGCTTGCCTGGTTGCTCTTGCCTCAACACCAGGCCAGCACTGCAGCTGGCCCCCCACTTTTTCTACCTCCAGTTCTCACAGCCCTGCTGCCCCTGCTTCTTCAGGGCTGCCCATGGCCTATGGAGGATGCATCCTATGGCACAGCTGGGGAGATGACCACTGTGTCTTCACCTGCTTCTTGCCATGTAGTTTACCATCAGGGAAAAATGTTTTGGGTTAGGACAGCCAAGGTAATGCTTTTGTGCCTTCCCCCTCCCCGTCTCAGACATTCGTAATGTGCTAAAGCTGGCATGGTGATGAGGGGTAGGTTGGAGACCTCACAGCTCATCTGTTTGTTTTTATTTCCAAGCCTGTTCTCCCAATGAGTTCCAGTGCAGTAACAAGTCATGCATCTCCATCATCTTCGTGTGTGATGGTGACAATGACTGCGGGGATGGCAGTGATGAAAGAAAATGCTCCCCTCTGACCTGCAACCCCAATGAGTTCCAGTGCAACAACAGCGTGTGCATCCCGGAGTCGTGGGTCTGCGATAACCAGCCAGACTGTGAGGATCAGTCAGACGAGTCTGTAGAGCAGTGTGGATACAATGCCAAGGCCCTCAACACCTGCGCGGCTCATGAGTTCCAGTGCAGCAATGGTGAATGTATCCACCTGAACTGGAAGTGCGACGGGGATGAAGACTGCAAGGACAAGTCTGATGAGCAGGATTGCCGTGAGTGTCTGCAGGGGTAGGGCAGGGCTGAGGGCTCTCTTTTGTGGGGAGAGGGGCCAAGAAAGAAGGCTGCTGTGGGCTGTGTTTTAAGGCAGCTCTTTGATGTCTGTGCAACATCTGTGTGTCTGACAAGGAGTGTTTGTGTCCCAAATGGCATGGCTGGGTGCCCAACCCAGCAGGGTCAGGGATATTCCAGACTCCTTTTATGCATTTTCCTTGAGGATTCAGAGAGAAGGTGCAAGAGGTGTTGGATGGTACTGTGCCTCAGAAGAGAGCTGTTTCACTAGAAAGACAAGGGATGGAAAATGGGAAAAATGTTCAAAGCCCTCAGGCTGCATGGTGGGGTCACAGCCTGGAGGTTAGAAGCCGCAATGCTAAAGGGAATATATGATCAGCAGAAAAAAAATAATTAGTTTTCTGCCTCTGAAGTTAGAGTATACTGAACAAGGCAGTCAAGAGCAGCACCTCTGAAGAATCCAGTTTGAAATGCACTTTGAGCTTGGCTTGATAAAGGCACAGAGCTAATAAATAATGGATTTCTTTTCAGCTGGCTTTATGCATTTAACATGGTGTTGGTGGTGTGCGTGGTATTTTGAATGTTTCATCCATTTTTAGCCACTAAACTGTTCAAGCTGGTCACTTACCTGAGGAGGGAGAGAGAGGGGGGGAGAGAGAGAGACAGACAAGAAAATAAGAGCAAAATGTTTTGCTAAAATATTCATAATCACAAGATTGAAATAAAATATTTACATAGCTGTATATATTTAGCAGCTCTGACACTGGGCCACCTCTGGGGAGTAAGGCAGCAACCAGCTGCAGAAACCAGACATTCTTGCAAAGGTACCTAAGAAAATGTACCACTTTTACCAGCACCATCTTTTCATACCCATGACAACACGGAGTCCAGGCTGGTGAGCTCAGAGCAGCTTAGTGGGAGAGCCCTTCAAGGAGCAGGGCATCAGACTCTCTCCCAGACAGAAGCAGATGGAAATTCAGTGGCTTCTTTAGCAAGAGGAGGAGAATGTAGTAAGTCCTGGACCCCACTGTTTACACTGCAGGAGAGCAGGGGGGTGAGCCACAGGTAACCCTGGAGCTGCTGTGCCTTTAAAAGAGCCAAGGACTTTTTTAAGAGAGAGGTGAGAGCAGAGCAGGAGAAGCCAAATACGTTTAGTGAGAAAGACAGCAGCTTTGACTGCTGGGTACAAGGATATCGTTGCTGTCAACCCCCTTCCGAGTAGGGATGGATTGATTAGGTAGGATGTCTTTTCCTTCATCTCCAAGAAGGGGATACAGGAGGTGACAGAGCTCTTGGGCAGCAGGTACCCAGGCAGTATTTCCAGGGTCTGAAGCATCACAGGGACAGTGGAGCCAGGAGACAAAGTTGGTTCCTGGCATCCATTTCAGTATGAAGTGACTGTGAGAAAGCCAGGCAGGAGTATGTCTGGTGGAGATGTGTGCTGCTAGCTGGGACGGCCTGTGGTGTTTGGTGCCTGTTTTCATTCTGAGACCTCCTGCAGACAATTCTTGTACTTGTATCCCCTCCGAATCAGGAGGCAGTGGTTAGGCCCGCATTACAAACACAGCTGAAGAACTGGTGTCTGGTGCAGGGGACTACCAGCAGAACTGACCTCTGTCCCATAGGCTGCATTCCCTCCAGTGATGGCAACTAGGCAAGATGGCTGAGTTTAGACAACTCAGGAGAGGGAAGGGTGAGCTCCCTTCTATTTCCAAGAGGGGAGCAGCTTACAGATGGCGCTTTCTGATGAAATGTCTCTAAAATTTCAATCCCTGTGGTTCAGCTTGAAAGGATTTTTTTAAAGTCTTTTATCGGCCCCATTTACTTTGTCACTCTGCTGGGTGAGAGGAGTGGGACTGTGTACATGTACCTTGCTGAGGCAGAGGGAGCACCTCTGTTCCCCAGCTTCTTTCCTTGATCTGACAGACACCAGCAATATCCAGCTGAGCTCAAACTGCCAAGACGTGAGGCCCAAAAGGAGCATGGCTCTGACAGCACCCCTCAGCTACAGAGCGGCTTCACCAAGTAGCACCTCCAGGTACGCCAAGGGCAGCCTCCCTGGGGCAGAGGACGCAGCTGGACACCGCTGCAGCACAGCACAGTACTGACAACCAGTGGAGGAAGGAGGAAATGTGGCAGAAGTGACTTGAGACAATTACATTTCTGACTAGCGGAGATTTAGCACCCGAGGTTTCTTCCCAGTAAGTCTCAGTACAGCACAATGTGCAGCTTATCTACCCATGCGAAACGAGCATGTTAGCTGCTTCTGCTGCTTTCAGTCCTGTGGGCCAGGAAACAGTGGGATTCAAAGCCCCATGTTTTAGCTACAGAGTGCCTGGTTCTGCCCTTAACACCCATGCAAGCTAGGAGTCACCCCCATGCCAGAGAGGTGCATAAGCCTGCTGCTGTTTACAGCGCAGGAAGGGGAATCTCTAAGGTAGTAGCCAGGAGAGGACTTTCAGCACTGAGTGCTCATGTAGCTGATGGGTCAGCTGGGTCAGAGTCAAAACTGATGTTGCTTCCCAATCCTAAATGCAGCTGTTGCTTGGGTGCACATGCCTGCAGTAAGAAAGTGACATTTGAGAGCTCTGGAAACTCAGCATCACTGTTCATCTGTTGGACTGAAGAGTTTAGGGATTGACCTTTATTATTCTTTTTCCTCTCCAGAAATTCTCTTTTTGAGATCAGTATCGCGTGGCACGCAGGGAGTTACAGGTGTATGACACTGCTCCATCCCCTTAGCAACAGGGATGGCACAAGTACCACTAGGTTTGACTTGATTAAAACTGCAGATACCAGCACTATGTCTTCTCTCCAAATGGGAACCATATGGGGTTTGCATTGTATAAAATAGAGGGATGGGAGGTAATGCTTTAAAAAAAAATGTCATGAGGCCATCACCAGTTGTTTGTTGTAATCATTTTGGGGTGATAAATGAGTAGAGCAGAAATGAAGGGTGACAATTGGTAAACAGGTTTTGGCAGTGAGACAGCAAATAAATAGGAGGGAATGAGTCATTTCGGGAAAGCCATGTGAGAACATTGGGTGGTTGGGGTTTTTTCCCTAGCATATATATTCAAATATGTATATATATTTATAAAATGAACATTAGGTTAGATGTATTAGTCTTCAAATCTGGAATGGTTATATTTTAAAATGTCCTTTGCAACTCACATTAGGGCATCCAGGAGGGAGAATAAATAATGCTTACAACTGACAGCTAGAAAACAGATCCCCTGAGACCTGACCTCACATTTTTGTGCCTCTGTCTCTCCATCTATAAAATGGGATTGATGCATTTTGCGAATGCTGGGGTTTTCTTGAGATTAAGTTCATTTGAGGGGGGGACGGGACAGAAGACAGAAGAAACACAGGCTTAGACTTGGAATCTGGAATATATCTGCTGAATTTGAGCAATACAGCTTTGTGCAGTATTTGCAAATGGGAAGTGTGTCTGAGTGTGCCTGTTAATTTAGCAGGGCTTCGGTAAATTGTTTCATATTTGGTTTGCGGAGCAGAGGAGATGGCTATAAAGCTGCTGAGATTTCACTGATTTAAACCCTCCAATATAGCACAGCAATTTTCTGAACATCTTGTGCAAATAAACAGCACAGCTCTTCCATCTTCTTGGGATATTGCTCTGCTTTGGGAATGGACCTGATGGCAACCTGCTGCCGACTCTGCCAGCGGTGCTGAGATGGGTTTGTGTTCTGGCTTCAGGATAACAAAGTTCCTGGCCCTCTCCCCTCAAACTTATACTCTCCAGGCCCAGTATAAACATAGCATTCCCTCTCCTCCTACTGAAAAATGGACCACAAACCGGAAATGCTGTATATGCATTTTAATATCTTTGTGATCGGTAAGAGTTGTTACTGTATGTGCTCTTTTTAGATGTCTGTTAAGAGGCTCAGGGACCATTCCTTAAAGGTCTGAACTTCCACAGCTCTGCTGGAGTGAGAAGTGAGACAGGAAACCAAGCCTGGTCTCCAAACTTCTTTCTCTTCTTCCTGAAGTAAAAGCTTTGTGCGATGACATTGTATTGTCCCACGTCTGTGTTTTGCAGTCCCTGTAGCAACCGAGCTAAGAGCTGTGCTGTCATTTTTCTCTCAGTCTTGTGGTGCTTGTGCAACATTGTCTTTGCAGTTCCTGCAAAATTCTCCTTCATTTTAATTTGTTTTAGGTTTAGAAACCTTTCTATTCTTAGCATCTAGCTATAACTGCTTTTTTAGAAGACCTTTGAAGATTACATTTAGGACAATTAGTAGGTTTTATAATGGCTGCCTTCCAAATCTGTAGCTGTTGTCATGCAGATTTACTTGATAACCTGGAGACCTGTTCCTCCTCCAGGAAAGACAAGACCCCCATTGGTTTTAATTGCATGTTACGCTTTTGCGGGGCGTTAATACTTACAGTCAGAAATACAGGACCATCCTTAACTATCTCCACATATAGAAGTTGCTACAGAAAAGGTGAATTAAACTGTTTTTCCTGTTGGGGGTGAAGACAAGAAATATTTGTGGCAAGGGAATTTTCGGCTAGATGGTAGGAAAAGCTTTGCAATGGCCAAGGTTTAGCTTGGTAGAGGTCAGGATTGCCTAGGGGGAAGGTGGTCTCTCCATCGTCAGAGCTTCTCCAGGCAGGTGGTTGTACATGGCAGGAAGGGTTCAAGCAGAAGTGCCTCTGCCTCCCTGCAGGAGCTCTCAGTGCCACCCAGATATGTGGTCTGTGATTTTCCCAGACCACAGCTTTGTTTCTTCCTCTACTTCATTTTTCTCCATTTAGAGCAGCAGTTCCCACATGCTTAGTTTGGAGCTGCTGTCCCAGATGTCCCACTGAAGTTTCCTGTTTCTGTGCCTGGGTTTATCAGCTGAAATGTGGTGAAACAGCTGGTCCCATAACTATGCTTATTGCTCGGGATTTTTTCCTTGCTTTGCAGCTTTTTATGAATATAGTGCATATGGCTTTCCTCTCCAAGGAGCAGTGTTATTTCCAAACTTTCCTCTTGTGAATACTATGTATTTCTAAAGGCAGGATTTCTCCCTTCCCCCCCGCCCCAGCCCTGCAGTTGTGGCTTTCCCTGTCTCTTGTGTCCTTCGCCTGCTGAAGATGCACTAGAGCTAAGTTCAGTGAAGCAGTCGTGAATCTGGATCCTGCATCCTGTGGGATGCAATCACCTTGCAGATTGTGCAATCACCTCAGATGCTGAGCCTTTGTGCAACTAATACTTTATGGTATCGATGCTAGCTCACTTCATGTCTGTGGCTCTTCCTGGGTTATGTGAAAGCAGTAATTTTTGTATTAGAACCAGTTTGTCAAATTGTCAAGGAAGGTCTGCCACATAGCTCTCACCTCCCATGTAGTAACATCAGTGCTGACCTCCTATAGCTATTCAGAGGCAGTGTTTTTCCATCATATGATTCCAGGATGCAATCAGCAAGATGGAAAGGCTAGAATCAAGAGCTCTCCAGGGTGCGCTGCCTTAATAGGATTTTAAGAAAACATCTGTAAGACGGTCCCCTCAGAAGTAAGCTGCATAACATGTCCCAGGAATGAGGAGCCTGTTTTGCCAGTGAACTACAGGCTGCAGCCTTTTGCTGGCTAGCGAGTGCCTGTACCCTTTGTCAGCGCGAGTCTGGTCCCAGCTAGTGAGGTCTCTCACTTAGTGTAACCTTGGGGAAGGAGACATGACTGCTTTTAGTATGGTCAGTGCAGATGTCTGTTTCATTTTTTTTCCCCAATGTTGCTGTTCATCAGATCTGTTTTAAGTCTGTAATAATCTGACCTGGGCAAATGAGCTTCAGGCTTGAAACCTGGCCTGACACTGGAGATGTTTTTGGCCTGTAACCCTGAGAAACATCAAGCCACAGTGTAGTGGAGCTCTTTTGCCTTCCAGTGGTCTGTTAGCTCATGGGCATTTAGTAACCTGAATGATCATGTCTGTGTTGCTAGCTTCATCCCTAGTGTGACCACACTGGATTTGACAGAGAGAGTCAATACATGGCTCTTTCCCATGCTCTTAGCCTGAACATGTTTTAAAATATATCTTAAATATAATTTTTTTCTGAAGGAAGGAGAGCTGAGGAGCCTTTGCCTACCCAGTGCCACTCTGCATTCCTCATTGGAAAGCAGCCTGGCCTCTCACATAGACTGAAGACCCCAGGAGGGCTCCACTGCTGATAGTTTTGCTGCCTGCTTGCTTTCCTGTGTCTCACCCAAAAGCTTCACTGCCTGCACTGATTCTGTTTTCACTAGATCTGCTCATACGGGCTTTGGGGGTCTTTTTCCAAGGACATAGAGAGTGATCTGGGATGGCAGGGGGGCACAGGAGGACAGTGGCTGAGGCAGGTGCCGCCCCTGTTGCTTTGGGGGGAGAGGCTG